CCTACCGCCTAGCGCATGCCTGCCTTGCACTACCTCTTAGCGCAGTGCAGCAGCCAGCAGCTCGCATTTGCGCAGCGTGCCGGCATTGCCCGCAATGGCCAAGATCCCAGCCCACTCACCCTGCTTGCCTAAATGCCAGTGCTGCGTGTGGGCAGCCTCCCTTGAGCCTGCGACAGGGCCCCAGTGGCTGAACCCAGGCCCATTACAGTTGGGGCCCGGGAAATGCAGTTGTGCCTCTGTCGTCAAGGCCTGTGGCCAGATTCAGACAGTGGGCCGGTTTCCCTTTGCATTTTCAGCCTCTATACCCAGCGTGCATTGTCGGCCTCACGTTCAAGAGCCCAGGGCCTAACTAACTCAGAGGCCCTGGGCATTTCAGCATTTGCTGAGATCCGAAACTCGGTGCAATCCAACCAACTGGCGTGCGGCAACTGTAAGGACCCCACTTCGTGAAATGTATGCACAAAGGGCCATTGTTGATTTGCTCGCCCGCCTTCACTTAGGGAGGGCACGAGGCTTGCTGGGGCCTTAGCCCAGAACATGTACATCATGGCAAGGCCCCTTCTTGAGGGCTCATTCCTCACATTCCATCCCCCTTAGCTTCGAAAGTCCGCTGAGATGCTTACTTCGCAGGTGCCTTCCCTTTTAACTTCCTTTCATAATCTGCCACCACCTGAGGAGCTGTTTCCATCAGTTCCTCCCGGGTAAACCACCGATCTTCTTTTGGATCCGTACGATGTCTGAATCTGATCCGGTACTCCATCTTGGGTTTAGGAGGTCTTCCTCGACCCAGCGGCTTCTAAAAAGGCATATCCCTGTGATCCACAATGTCGTCAATGTCGACTTGTCCATCCATGGTTGGGGGCAGCATAGATCTCCTGGAAGGGAATTGATCAGTCTCAGTGAAAGGTGCAAGCTTTGAGGCATGAAAGAGTGGGTGAGTGCGTAGGTGTCTAGGGACACGAATGACATATGTGGGACCATCCAACTCATCTCCCACTACATCCAAGACTTCCCAGGGACCAAAGTACTGCGGCATTAGTTTGCGTGATATTCCAAACTCCTGTCCTAACTCACTAGCCTTGATCCAGACACGTTCCCCTACCTGAAATGTGGACTGCCAGCGATGTTGATTCTCATAAGCAATCATGGCTTGCTGAGCCTTCTTCATATGTTCAACAGCCTCCTGCAGCAACTTCTCATATTGCACACCGTATTCAAGTGTGCCTGGAGTTGCAGCAGGTCGGTTTCAGGTAGGAGGAAGTCTAGTGCTGATTTAGGCTTCCATCCTAAGTGCAGCTGGTTAGGACTAACGCCGGTACTACTATGTATAGCATTGTTGTACAGGCTGGCGATGAGAGGTAACTGCCCAGTCATCCTGGCTGGGCTTGATGTAATGCCTTAGCAAGTTTTGTACAACTCTATTCATTTGTTCGGCCTGTTCGTTGGCTTCGGGATGATTCCCTGAAGTCATCTAAAGTTGACTGCCCATCTGTTCCACAATCTTCTTCCACAACTCACTTGTGAATCGGACGTCTTGGTCACTAATGATGGTCTTTGGTAAACCAAAGTCCCTTACCCAGTTGTCCTTGAACAACTTGATGACGTATTCTGTCCTGGCTGTCTTTGGCATTGGTACTAGTCTACCGTACTTGGTGAATCGGTCAATGATGACGAAAATGTGCCTCTTACCACTCTTGCTGGTCATTAGGGTGTCCATGAAATCCATGGAAACACTCAATCCCGGACCATCAGGAATAGGCAAAGGTTTCAACAACCCAAGCGGTGCTTGAGTTCGCGGCTTGTCCCGCTGATAGACCTGACAGGTCTCAACATACTTCTTTGCGTCATCTAGCATTCTGGGCCACCAAAATCGCTGTACTAAATTAGCACTCGTCTTCTTGTAGCCAAAGTGTCTAGTTGCGTTATGACATTCGCCTAAAAATAAACTACGCAACTGTTCACTAGATGGAACTACCAATCTCTGTATTCCGGCCTTATCAAGATAGAGTAGCCCGTCCACCATCACGAACTCACTTTCTTTGGCCTTGTCTTTTGCCTGAAGCTTGCGGATGATGTCCATCGTGACAGGGTCTTCCAGATAGGCTCCCACCAATGATTGAGTTACTTCTTCAGATACGCCAAAGTTCGAAACTAGCGCACCTAGGTAGTCTGCTCTACGGGATAGCGCGTCTGCAACCTTGTTGTACTCTCCCTTCAGGTACTGAAGCTTGAAGTCATATTGGTCTATGACCTCAATCTATTGCTTGAGTGCATCAGAAAGAGTCGGTTGAGTTTTTATCCATTTGAGGGTCTGATGATCAGTCCTCAGATAGAAGAACCCTCCCAAAAGGAAGTGTCTCCAATGGACAAGTGCCTTGTAGAGAGCATAGAGTTCCCTTTCGTAGGTGGACTTAGCCAACTTCGTCGACGGCATCTTCTTACTCATGTACTCAATCGGTCTCAACTTTTTCTCATCCTGCTTAACCAGCACCGCACCAATGTCGTATTGGCTTGCGTCACTGGTCACTATGAATGGCTTCTGTGGATCATGAACCATGAGGACCTCATGATTCATGAGTGCATGCTTCAATCTCTTGAAAGCAACCTCGCACTCATCACTCCAGTCCCACGGTGTGTCAAGTCGAGTTAGATCAGTCAAAGGAGAGGCGACTGTAGAATATTTTTTAACGAAGTTTCTATAGTAGCCGCACATTCCTAAGAATGACCTGACCTCACTGACTGTCTGAGGTCGTAGCCAGTATCGAATACTAGCCACCTTCGCATCTTCCGGCCTAATTCTCTCCGCGGATACTTCATGACCCAAGTATAGTATCTTAGTGCGACCGAACTCACACTTCTCTAAGTTGACCTTATACTTGTGCTCTCGCAGGAGTGAGAGAACTGCCTCAACGTGATTTGCGTGCTCCTCGACAGACTTACTAAAGATCAGAATATCGTCTAAGTAGACCACGACAAACTTATCTAAATGGTGATAGAAGATCCGATTCATAGCGTGCTGGAACGTACCCGGTGCATTACAAAGACCAAAGGGCCTCACTACAAACTCATACAGACCATAACGAGTCTGAAAAGTTGTCTTGTGTTGGTCCTCAGGTCTTATTGCGATCTGGTGATATCCGGATTTCAAGTCTATCTTGCTACAGTACTTGCATCCCTGCACCCTATCCAATAGGTCGTTTATGCGAGGTAGAGGCTCTGCGTTCTTCACAGTGATGACATTGAGGTCTCTATAGTCAATGCACATCCTCAAAGTACCCCCCTTTTTCGGTACAAATAGAACGGGTGATCCGTAAGGGAAAGTACTACGCTGAATCCATCCCTTCTCTGTCAGCTCCTTTAGTTGCTTCTGAAGTTCATCTAACTCGGCAGGGGTCATCCTATAGATCCTTCCCTTTGGGGTCTTACTCCCTGGAATGATTTCTATAGCGTGGACGACTTCCCTATCAACAACTCCTGAGGGCTCTTCGAACAAATCAGGGAACTTAGCAACGACGCGTTCTATCTCTGGGGTATCTATAATACTACTGGCCTTAAACTTGGTCAATCTGACAGTTCGGCCATCGGGCAATTTGTGTTTGAGCACCTTCTTATCCCAGTCGGACTGGGGCTTAGCAACTTCGAGGTAGTACATGCCTAACAGCATATCGAATGGTAAGTTGTCGCTAACCAAGAACGAGATCTTATGGTTAAGCTCACCTCCTTCATAGGAGAAGGTACAGACTACGTCCTTGATGTAGTCTGTCACTATCATGTGCTCCTTGTTGGCCAAAGTACATGCTACTAGTCTACTAAGGTGTCGTACCCGGTCATGTAGGTGCTGTCTTTCCAAACAGTCGCGACTTATGTAATTCCGCGTGGAGCCTATGTCTATGAAGGCACCACATTTGTGGCCTCCTACATCGACCTCCACCACGAAATGT